TACTGTACGACTCCTGTACGCCACCGCAATCGTTTTTACCTTGATTGCAGTCTTCATCCATCAAAACTTTACTAGCGAGACTGGTTATCCAGTCGAGAAACCGTAGTTTGCGTCTCATCTGGCCATACAGTGGTGGGATGTGTTGACAATCAACAGTCTTTACTTCACACAGCGCGTGTGACGTGTGAGGGCTCCGCGCTCTTCAGAGACAATCACAGAATATGACAGAGCTCGTGTTTTAAAGCGAAATACACTGGAATTAATAATTCACTGAAAACGCAAAGCGATTCTCTGTTCTCTCTGCAATCTCTGATGTAATCAGCCTGGTTTCCTTTATATTAGCGCTGTTTTTTGGACGGATTGTTTGAATGCATTCTTTTACCGGATCATTGGACTGAAAACTTTCCCGGAGTTTAGCGGCTTAAAATGATCTGATCGCAAGCAGAGAAGCAAAATTGGGTTAAAGGGTTAGAATAGAAATTGTGCTTCAGTAATTTTTAAGGATTAAGGATTGTAAAATTAATCGTATGCGTAAACACGTTAACAGCCCTAATATATATATATATATATATATACACACACACACACACACACACACATATATATACAGAAAAAGGATGTGATTAATCAGATAAAAAAATTTTAATCGATTGACAGCCCTAATATATATATATATATATATACTTTTAGTATATATTTAAATTCATATAAAGTAGAAAAGTCATTAATTTAAATATTAATTTTGTAAATGAAATAATTGTATGATTTATTTATTTTTATTTTATGTTTTTTTTTTTTTAAATGACAGTCTCTGTAGACCAGTTCTTTACTATAATGTCAGAACGGAAAAATGTGATTTCACTACCTGACAGCATGGACAATCAGTCCTAAAGATCGGATTTGAGAAACATCACAACTGGGTGCAGAGTCAACAAAGCCAAAAGGTTTGGCCCTGTTCCACTTAGCCGCATTAATAATGCTAATGAAAAGTACACCAGTTGGATTTTAGCATTCCGATCAAAAGCTCCAGAATATGAGACGCACATATGGGATGCACATCCCTCCCGTTCTCTTTCTCTCTCCTGGTGGGATTGCAGCAGGGCTCTCTAAATGACAGGCCTCATGCAGTAGTGAGAACAGACAGGCTGAGAGCAAGGGTGCTGCTGCATGCTGATTCTAAAACACATGTCATCTGTTTAGGCGGGATGTGTGCCGAGCCGCTCTACAGGAGGGATATATCTCTCGTCTAGTCTCATCAGTCAGCCAAGCACAAATCATTTCGGCAAGAGAAGGCAGCTGACAATAATGATGTGTTCTCATTTGAATGACAAACAAATGTGCAGTGTCGGACAAGACGTTTGCATGCGGTTTGCCTTTGAATAGCGTACAATAATATACAGTCTGTGACAGCAAGATTACGAGCTGTCCCTCTGTCCATTTATGCTCTGTCCGTTTTTCATCGAAGATCCAATTTATGAACTTATAGTGCATATTAACCTAACAGTGGGCCTTCTATTTACTTGACAATAACTCCATTGTTAAGAAATCTATGAAGGTGCATTTCACAAAAAGGGAATCTTTGAGACTTTAACTTTTAACATTAAAGGAATAAAAATGTATCATCATTTACTCACTCTTCTTGTCGTCTGTCACCATCGTCAGTCTTATGTTGTGTGTGTTATTTTCTTTTATCTGTGAAACATAAAATGAGATGCTAGGCTGAATGTCTGAGATTCAGTTTTCCATACAAGGAAAAGAGAATAGAGATTTATATTTCCGTTCACACTGCACCCCATTCTGATCTGTCTATTTAAATCTGACATTTAGGACTATCTGTATGCTTTGTCATCTTGCAGGTAATGAAATTAGATTGGTTTGTTGCCATAGTGTTGATGCCAGAAATAAAAGAGAGTTGTGGTGGAAAGAGTATGTAAATATATGTGTGTGTATATTACCATGGGTGAGAAATCTGTGTAATTCACTGATGAAAATTTGCTGTCAGCCATTCTGTCCTGTATCTGTTACATAAAAGCCTCTGTCTTCCTATGAACCCTTGGTTTTTCTTTCCTCATATCAGTTCCGCCAGTAATCCTGAAGCTGGACGAGCCGGAGCGGCGCCATCACACCTGCATTGAGTTCACTGTGAGGGGCTTTCCCCATCCCACACTGCGCTGGTTCCACAAGGGCCGTGAGATCCTGCAGAGCGAGTATATCCGCATGGAGATGGAGCACTACCAAGATTACTTGGAAGGCTGCTTGACTTTTCAGAACCCCACGCATTACGACAATGGAAACTATACCCTAGTAGCCTCTAACTCTCTCGGGTCAGTCACCAAAACCATCTACGGCTATTTTCTTGAGCCACCGTTCATTGAGGATGACGGTAAGTTATTTAATTGTTCATTTACTTTTGTAGCCTGAGGGATGGATGATTTTATTGATATTTATTGATAGGAATGACTCTGATATTTATTCATTTTATTTTGATATACCTTGATATGTGTGCCTGCTTATATATACAAAACAATATATGTGATACTATATTATAGTATATATTATATATATATAGGAATGTATAATTCACTATATAATCTATATACACTACAGTTCACAAAGTTTAAGGTCGGTAAGAATATTTAATGTTTTTGAAAGAAGTCTCTTCTACTCACCAAGGCTGTATTTATTTGTTTAAAAATACAGTAAAAACTGTAATACTGTGAAATATTATTATAATTTAAAATAACTGTTTTCTATTTCAATATAGTTTAAAATTTAATTTATTTCTGTGACGTAATGCTGAATTTTCAGCATCATTCCTCCAGTCTTCAGTGTCACATGATGCTTTAGAAATCATTCTAATATGCTGATTTGCTGCTCAAGAAACATTTCTTAATATTATCATTGTTTAAAATAGTTGTGCTGCTTAATACCTTTGCAGAAACCGTGATAAAAAACATTTCAGGATTGTTTGATTAATAAAAAGTTCAAAAGAAAAGCATTTATTTGAAATATCCGACACATAATTTTAATGCGTATCAAATGAAATGTATTTCAAAAAACAAAAAGTCTTACCGACCCCAAGCCTTTGAATGGTAGTGTATCTTTTACACATTTTTATGCTTTAAAATGTTTTCAATTTGTAATCTTTTATATTTTTTTCTTTTCTCCTCTTATGCCATTCTTTTAGGAATAATTGAGTACAGTAAGTGCCTCTCTCTTTTTGACCAAAAGAATACAGACAGACAAAACATATTAGTCACATATCATGTCCCTGTTCTGCTTGCTTCAAATACATTATAATCTATGATCTTAAGTTCAGCATTGAAGAATTTGATAAAACAGTATCATCTTGCAAGCGGTATCTCATAATAATAGCTCCTCTCAAGTGCACCAAGAACACAGAACTTGGCAAACGAAAATGCTCAACATAGCAAACTTGTATACTTGAAATCTTCCCTAGTATCTGTAAAAAAGGACACCCCTAATGACACTAAACAGAGGTAGATTAAAGAATAGCCCTTATGAATTATAGCACGTTTTTGGCACGTATACAAGCTTATTTATTTGTTTAAAAATACAGTAAAAACTGTAATACTGTGAAATATTATTATAATTTAAAATAACTGTTTTCTATTTCAATATAGTTTAAAATTTAATTTATTTCTGTGACGTAATGCTGAATTTTCAGCATCATTCCTCCAGTCTTCAGTGTCACATGATGCTTTAGAAATCATTCTAATATGCTGATTTGCTGCTCAAGAAACATTTCTTAATATTATCATTGTTTAAAATAGTTGTGCTGCTTAATACCTTTGCAGAAACCGTGATAAAAAACATTTCAGGATTGTTTGATTAATAAAAAGTTCAAAAGAAAAGCATTTATTTGAAATATCCGACACATAATTTTAATGCGTATCAAATGAAATGTATTTCAAAAAACAAAAAGTCTTACCGACCCCAAGCCTTTGAATGGTAGTGTATCTTTTACACATTTTTATGCTTTAAAATGTTTTCAATTTGTAATCTTTTATATTTTTTTCTTTTCTCCTCTTATGCCATTCTTTTAGGAATAATTGAGTACAGTAAGTGCCTCTCTCTTTTTGAACAAAAGAATACAGACAGACAAAACATATTAGTCACATCTCATGTCCCTGTTCTGCTTGCTTCAAATACATTATAATCTATGATCTTAAGTTCAGCATTGAAGAATTTGATAAAACAGTATCATCTTGCAAGCGGTATCTCATAATAATAGCTCCTCTCAAGTGCACCAAGAACACAGAACTTGGCAAACGAAAATGCTCAACATAGCAAACTTGTATACTTGAAATCTTCCCTAGTATCTGTAAAAAAGGACACCCCTAATGACACTAAACAGAGGTAGATTAAAGAATAGCCCTTATGAATTATAGCACGTTTTTGGCACGTATACAAGCTTCTATGCATTAAGAGTTCAGGATGGTGTAATTGTTTTCGAGTCCAGCGAGGACGGCTCGTGCTTTGGGTGCGGGATGCGGTAATATGTGAGCTCTGCTGCACCTCTGCCATTATGACTCAATTAAATGCCAATTCCTCTCTGGCACCTGTGAACAAGCCACACGGGTTCAGACAAAAGCCTCCAGAACCAAAACAGTTTACTTTGTGCCTCTCAGGCAGCATCATAAATGTACAAGTCATGAAGTGAATTGAAAATAGACATATCTAGTAAGGAACAGACAGAATTCAATATATTGGTGGAAGCAGACCTAGTTGTCACAGGGCTGAATAGTTATTGTCAAACGTCCAATTAAATTAGATTTATGTCTTTAAATTCAGATATTTTGAAATTTGGTATCAAACTAGCATGCATTCATTCATTCAGGAATTGTTTTACTCTGTCAAAAAGTCTATAACAAGCAGTTTAATGACATGTGACGACTTATTCCACATAGCATGATGATGTGTGTCAATGGGTGTTAAATTGCTTTATTTTTATCCCCATGAGAAATAATGGTGGAAATGTTTAACTTGTTTAGGTTTGTTGTAGCCAAGGATGAACATTTAAGAAGTAAATATTAAAAGTGTTAACAACTAGTGTTATTTTAGTATTATATACACTACTTTACATTGTAGCAAAGTGTCATTTCTTCAGTGTTGTCACATGAAAAGATATAATAAAATATTTACATAAATGTGAGGGGTGTACTCACTTCTGTGAGATACTGTATATACAGTATATATTATAAATGTATTAATATCCCATTTATATTTTAAATTTTCAGTTTTCATTTTAATTTTTAGTAATTTTTGTACTACAGCTTAAACTTTTTTTTTTTTCGGTTGGTTGCCAATGTAACATATCTAATTTTTGTTTACTTTTTAAAAGTTTTTAATTTAATATTATATTATATTTCAGCTTTATTGCAATAAAAAAATAGTTTTGGTTAACAACAACAACACTGTCTAAAGGAAAGCATTTTTGGCCTCTTTAATTGAACAAATGTCTTTTCTATTTCCTGTAGCTCCAACACCTGAAGATGAGGCGAAGAGTCCTGAAGAAGATTCATTTGGAGTAAGACGTCCATTCTGTCTGAAAAAGCAAAAGGCTGAAGTTCTTCTTTAAATTCAGTTTCAGCAGACGAAGCTGTGTCATTGACTGCTTTATTGCTTTTTCATGTAGATGTCGATTGCTGTTGGTCTGGCTGGCTTTGGTTGCGTCTTCCTCATTGTGATTTTCGTCCTCATCAACAAATACAGCAGACGCAACAAATTTGGGATAAAAGGTATGACTAGACTATTTTGCTAAATGTTGAAATAAAGGCAACTTTTTGCTCCATATTTTCAGGAAAGTCAATGGATATTTGGCTGGATGGGATTTTATCCATAGGGAATTGATTGGATTGTGAAAAATGGTCTCTTTACGACAGGTGGTTGGATGGGAGTAGTTAATACATTTCAACACATTTCAACACATTTCATGTGTCTTCAAGTAAAAAGGGTCCATTTTGATTTCACATTGACTTCCCCGTGAAAAAGCAAAAATAGCAAAATATTCTTAATTCTCTTCATCCTTTCTTGAAGCAACACAATAGATTTCCTCCGTCTTTCAGTTGTCAATCATCTCAAGGGACTCTGTAACATAATAGGAGTTCTCTGCTTTTTTTTAAGGCTATGTTTAGAGCCTGCTTTTAAACATTGTCTGGCAAATCATGAGTCAGATAGGGTTTGGTTTGTGCTGTGTGGGTTTGTGTGAATAGAATTTGAGTTGAATGCATCCTCCAGTCTCAGACCTTGGGAAGGCAGTTGGCGGAAATGCCTGCGAGTCTTTCTTTGGTTAGCCTGACTTCCTCTGCTAATATTATAGTTTATATCACTGTGGAGCCATTGTTTTCAGAGATACGGTTTAATATTCAAGCCTACATTTGTAGTGGAGGTGGGTAGTGCCACGAAAACATATGAAGATATGAGTAATTTTAGATCACGGTAACTATATATATATATATATACACACACACACACACATTTTATAAATATATATATATAATTATATATTTTTTTAACTCTAGTTTTGCATTGATGCCAATGGTATTATGTGTATTAATCATATCATTGACCGTATCTTTCAAGTTATAAATCTTATCACCCATTTACTCACCTCAGGTTATTTCAAACGTGTATGCAATTTTTAGACAGATGTGTCTGGCATCAATTCAAAACCAGCTTCAGGTTTTATAACCACTGAGTTAAATGCAAAAGACTCAAAACAGTAAAACAAATATTATAAAATAGTTCAGACTCTATATTCTGAACCAGTTGCATAAACTTAGACACTATGTTAAGACAGTGTCTTAAAAACTAGTCTGACCAGCTAGCAGTTCATCAAGGGGTGATGAGACTTATTTTTCGGATTCAAATTAGTCCAATTTATGTTTTTATGTAACCAGCCTAAAAAAGATATGATCAGTCTTAAATAAAAAAAATAGATGACTAACTTGTAAGACTAGTCTAAGCATTTTATGCAACCAGCCATTTATTAGATGAGACATATTCAAAGCTGAAAGTTTGAGGTCAGTAAGATTTTTTTAAGAAGCCCCTTATGCTAGGCTCTATTTATTTGATCAAAAATACAGTCAAACCATAATATTGTGAAATATTACTACAATTGAAAAGTATTACAACAATTGTTTTCTATTTGAATATATTTTAAAATGTAATTTATTCCTGTGATGCAAAGCTGAATTTTCAGCATCATTCCTCCAGTCTTCAGTGTCACATGATCCTTCAGAAATCATTCTAATATGCTGATTTCCTATTATTATCAATGTTGAAAACAGTTGTGCTGCATTGTAAAAGTCTTTACTGTCACCTTTGATCAATTTAATGCACCAATTGAATAAAAACATTAATTTCTTTCCAAACAAATAACAAATAAATAAATAAAAAACGTACATGGAACATGGGGATGAGCAGCAATAATTGTAACACTCACTAAATATAAAATGTTACAATTTTAAGTAGCATAAGCAATAATTTTAAACGTACACAACAATGTTAAATGTAAATTGGCTAAATAAAAATGACTTTGTAATTTCTGGTTTGAATTGTTATTTCATTTATAACAAAACAAGTACATTATTTGATCCTAAACATTCCATTATTGTTTCCATTAACCTTTGCATAGTTATACATTTAATTAACATCGGAAATTACTGTAGACATGTCCAAACAGTTTGAGGCAAACTTTCAAAGGTTTAAAGTAAACATTTAACAAACATCTATAAATGAACTCAAACTAAAAAGTGTTACAACTCCCCCTTCTCTACTCCAAGACTGCCATCTTATCCCAGCGTTGCCCTCATTTCACTCAGTCTTTGAATAATGACTGTGTGTCCGAGGCAATATGTCAAAGATGAAACAAATTACAGGAAATGATATTTTGTTTCCCATCCGCATTGCAGACCTCACATCCATCTTCACTTTTCAAAGATTGCTCTCCTAAAACAACATAAACACATTGAGTTTATGCATAAGCCCCTTGACCTGCTCTTTTCTCATATGTGTCATAACATGAAACGCTCTCTCACTTTGTTGTGACAGTCCTGCGAGAGACAGAAAATATGAGTTCTGTTCACTCCGAGAGGAACGGCTCATTATGTTTCACGATCGTCGGCAAGGTTAAAGAGGCATAAAAGGATTGACACTCAAACCGTGACGTCAATATGAGCCCTTTTCAGCATGCTGGCCTTCCCACAATACACCACTTGTACGGTTTATCTCTTCAAATCAGCTGGAGGTCTTAGGCAGCCATTACCTCAGATTGAGCTGTATTGGATTTTTGCCTCTCTCAATCATTCGGGAGCGTTTTTTTGCCTTTGGAGTTTGATCACAGACTATTTTGGGGCAGCAAGTAAAATCTGGTTTTGTGTGAGTGTGTGTTTCTCGCTTTCGGTGTTTGGATCCTTGCTATTAAATCATAAAATCATGAACAGATGTTGTTGCCGCACAACGTCCGGCTGGTTTTGCTTGCCTTTCAAGCCATTCAGGGCACTTCTGCTAATGGTAAAGCTTCAAAATCTGGCTCAGTCTTCATTTTGGTGTTTGGTTGTAATTGTGGGTAAAAATCAAGAGTGGGTCATTCTTAATTTAAGCTCATTATCAATTTTTACCTCCAACTATCTTGAGAATTTGTATACTCTCTAGTAGTCTGCAATACTAAATGGACTAGACGGTAATTATTTCTTAAGGTTATGTGCATGGAAGTAAATATACACTTTTGCATTGGGATGGCAATTATTTTCTGTAAAACATTCTGTATTACAACATTGTGGCAAGGAAGAAAAGCATTGTTATGCATTGCTGCCATTATAATGATCAACAGATTTTGGCCCTATAGTAGTTCTCAAAAAGGAATTTTTAAACAGTGCTTAATTTCTCCTTTTCCCAAACGATACTAATTGACAACCATTGTGTTCGTCAAACCACAGCGATAAAAAAAAAACACATATTATCGCAGATAAATGATCCTTGTATAAAGCAACTACTGTTCAAATAAGTTAGTGCAAGGGGATGGTTTGATCATAACCTGTCTCATCTTTTATGTAAACGTGAATAAATTCGTAAAAAGAGCTTTTGGATTTTGTTTCCATAATTTCCTGATCATGTGGAGGGAAACTTCTTTTAATCAGTTCCTGTCCGCTATCAATCAAAATGCCAATAAGAAAACAGAGAATTGATTTGCATTACCAAGAAGAAAGTACACAGGAGATGTTGTTTTAAAGCATTTCTCCTGGCAACATTTCCGCTGGGGATATTTAAGATGGCTTATTAAATTCAGTTCCATATAATGCATTCATTTCCTGTCAGGAGAGAATGTTTTAAGAGAGCTTCAGGCTTTATCTGAATTATGATCAGACATTTTGTCCAGCCCCAGATCTGTAATATAATCAGATTTGTGTTTTTATTCAAAAATCTTGATCCATAAAATTTAAAATTTACTTTTTTTCTCAAAAAAATAATGCTTTTATAGGTATATTTATTAAAAAGAAACATTTAAATTGTATGTGTATATATATATATATATATTAGAATTTGAATAGCAAAACTACCCTACAATAAGTCTTATTTCATAAATTATTTATATGAAAATATAAACCTATATTTCATAACAAAAACAATGTGCATTAATTTGTGCATAAAAATGCTTCATGTGCTCAAAATTTTTTATAGAGCTTAAGGATACATTTGCAGACTGTGAGGTTGTGTGGAAAGCGCTCATATCTAGATGTTTTGGATGTGTATTATGATAATTACTAACTGCAGGTATGCACTACTGCGTTTAGAATAATTCGGATTCATCAGGATATCATGTTGTGCTCTAGGGCTTCTGTTTTTTTTTTTTAAATAATACATTCCAAATAACAAATAATAATACATTTAAAAGTTAAAAAATACTATCGTCTTTACTTTCCTGGAACACTGCAAAACAAGAAGCTTTGAAGTTTGTATTCACATTATTGAGCCAAGAGGTCAGTCTGTGATGTTAACATCCTGCATTGGTTAAATCTATTTTCGTTATGTGAATGTGCAGGTCAGAGTTCAACAAACCTGAATGTAGATGCAGTATGCAGCAAAGACAAAACGTTTGCATGTGTTTGAATGGAAATGCAAAGTATGTATGCAAGTATACGCCTGCATATCTGTCAGAAATTTTCACTGAGAATATTTTCTCTGGACCATTTATAAGTTGTGTGTAAAACTAACACAATAAGGTTTTATTAGTTAACATTAGATAATGCATTACCTAGAGTTAATTTATAATGAGCAAAACATTTGTTACAGTATTTATTAACCGTTGTTAACATTAGATAATACAGATACAACAGACACAACTTTTGATTTTAATAATGTATGAGTAAATATTGAAATTTACATTACACTAAGATTACTGAATGCTAACTAATGTTACCTAATACAGTTAAGTAATGTTGACAAATGGAACCTTATTGTGAAGTGTTATTGAAGTATTTTATTCTTAGCAAGGCTGCATTTATTATTTGATCAAACATATAATAAAAACAGTAGTTCATTAATTCAATAATTAAGAAACATTATTACAATTTTAAATAACTGTTTTCTATCTATTTTAAAATGTAATTTATTCCTGTGATGCAAAGCTGAATTTTTAGCATCATTAATCCAGTCTTCAGTGTCACACGATCCTTTAGAAATCATTCTAATTTGCTGACTTGCTGCATAAGAAACATGGATTATTATTATCAATGTT